TTGTGTTGGAGTATGTGAAAGTTTATAAAATTGTTGTTGCACAACTCAGCCAATAAATGATCTTAATATCGATGCTCATCTTACCATTATACCTTGATTCAAATCAAATTGGTTGAACGTGGCATGTTTACTAAAGTTTAACCCTTCATATGTAAGAAAGAGAATAACTACTGCCATGATAGCTATTCTTGATTCAAAGATTGTTTTCACAAAGTTCACATTGACACCTATGATCTCGTTCCTTGTGTAGTAAAATCTGACATAGGTATGCTCTGAAAACAAAACTAAAGGAATGTCAAATATGTTTTTGAGCAAAAGTAAGCATATAATAGATGATATGGAAATAATTTGAGTCAAATTTGATCAATGACTCATAATTCGGTTCATTTGTGATCACTTGATATTCTTCTTTCCATTACCTAGTGATGTGATTGGAAATTCCAATAAATTTGGTTGGAATTTTGGAACTTGATTTGTCAATTTTAATGGTTGGTCGAAATTTTAATATTTATTTAGCCAACAAGATTTATGGCGTTGATATTATTTTGCCAATGAATATGGCTAGGAATCTGTGAATGTGGGTGGAAATCACGATGATTTATTCATTGATTTCTTTATTTTGAGTTTGAATAAACTCGTAGAATGAGGTTATAACTTTATTCATTATAAAAGGAATGGTCAGAGTAGTTCAAATCACTTTTTGTAAATCGATGGTAGAAATCTTTGTTTTGCCAAAGATGATTATGGCTAGAATTTTAAAATCTTATGGCCAATGATAATTATGGTTGAAAATTTTAATATTTATTAAAATCATGATGATTTTACAAAAGGGAATGAAATCACAACCGAAGATGAAGGAAACCACAAATTGAGGTTATGTTTGGTTTAATATTTAGTGGTGGAAGAATGAAGGAAAAAATAAAAAAATAAAGAAATTGTGACCTAGCTATTGTGTCACTCTAATAACGATCTTTTAATTGTGTGTATAATCCCGAATGCCCTAAATTCAAATGCAATAGATGAACATATTCTCAAGTTCAACCCGTGCCTTGATTGGTTGATGCATGTTAATTTCAAGTATTGGTTTCTTTATAATTAGGGTGTTTAGCAGTCCTTGAATAGCTTTTGGAGATCTATGTCCGGTTCATGCTCATGTGTGGGAAGCTCTTCTAGAAAGAGTTCAAGAACGTATATATATTTGGTATCCATGCCCATTCATTAATCAACAGAGAGGAGAAGAAAGATAAAGTTTTTAATTTTGCTATGTGTAATTAAGTAAATGGCAAAAATGAAGGAAATCAAGGAATGAGATTTTGATTTCATTCTAACGAAACTTGCGGATATTTATTTTAATGTAGTGGTGAGTAATGAGGGTTGAAATTCAAATGATTTTGGTTGGAATTTTTGTTAATGGATTTGTAATTGTAGTGGTTGAGCTTGACATTGTTAATGTATGTGGCTAGAATTTACGATATTTATTCTGTTAATGCATGTGGCTAGAAGTTACTGATATTTTTACTTATCAAGTAATGTAGTTGGAAAACTGAGAAAATGTGTGAGAATCATGATGAATTATTCATTGATTATTTATTTCTAACTTGAATAAAATTGTAGACAGATGTTATAATTTTATTCACCATAAAGGAAATGGTGGAAATGGTGCTAGTTCCGTCTCCTAACTTGAATGTTGAAATCTCGAGGATGAGGTTTATTTTAACAGGGGGAGAATGTAATACCCTGAAAATTTAAATATATGAATATGTGGAGAAGATCGAAAAAAAAAATCGATTTATGGTTATGAAAATAGAAATTGGGAAATTTTTAAAGTTTTAATTCCGGAAATTATTATAATGTACGAAGTTTGAAGTTTGAAAATTTATTATTTAAAATCCATGAACCATTTGAGGTCACAATTTATATTTTTGAATAGAGCTCGATCTCATGAACGTGTGGGCGCAAACCGTTCGTGAAACGATGTTATAACGAAGAAGTTATTAACGTTTAAAGTCGGGGATAAATTGGTAATTTTAAACTTCTTTGGAAGGCTCCAGAAAATCTAGAGCCATGTGTTATGCCACGTGTGTGGCTGGGATAAAAGGAAAAGAAAAGGGAAGAAAGAAATGGATGGCTAGGACGAGAAGGAGAGAAGAACGAGAAGTAGAGAAGAGAAAAAAAATAAAGGAGGGGAAATGAGGGAGAATAGAAAAGGAGAACCAGACCCTCCCTCAGCCTGCCGACTCGACCCGATCAAATTTTCGTTTCCAACAATCGTTGATGACTTCAATGGTGCCAAAATGACCTCACTCCAAGACCAATTGATCCTTCTTCAATTTTTACACTTAAACCTGACGAGGGGGAGTTCAATTTTGAGGAAAATACCCACGGTGGGTGCATCGGCCTTAGGTGGAGATCCACCAAATCTGAAACGTTTTTGCTCAATCACCACCACCTTTAGTACCCTCTTGAGCTCAGAAACAAAGCCCAAGCAAGTTTGGGGGTGTCGGGGTTCGTTTGAGTTTAGATCGAACACACCCAAATTCAAGGGTTTCCAGCGGTTCAAGGAAGTTTTTAGGTGTTTCCCGCCCAAATTGGACTTGGCCACAAGTACAAAAATTGTTCCCCTCACTGAGATCTATTTACCTATAAAATTTGGTAATTTTTAGAAATAGTTGAATTTTCCGGCGAGCCAAGGAAAGTGTGACGGCGCACGGCCAGGTGACTGCGCAAGCATTGTGTTTTTATGCGAATTTCGTTATTTTCATTATGCTTTTGAGACCTAACTACTATGGTTTGAATATTAATACGATTGTGGTATATGCTGGATTAAATGAATATATTTGGATTTGGTTTGAATTTTTGTATATGTGAACTACGAATGGCTTGATCCTTGTTTAGAGTACGTAGGCAGTCTAACGAGACGTTAGATGTAGCCATACAATAAGTGAGATTAAATAAACGAGACAAAACTTTGATTGAGAAATTGAACTAAGAAAGGAGTTTGGAATTTTATTATAAAAGGAAATCTTATGTTTTGTATATTTAAATTCTAGTTATAAATTGTGTGAACATTTAATAAATCAAACATGAGAATTGAATTGGGCCTATCATTGGAACTATTTCCCGAAAATAAATATTTTGGAGACAGGGCGTGACACTTTCATTATGTTCCAATACTTTATAATATATATGTCATTTTATTTTCTAGTTTATGATAAAATTATATATATTTTAAGTATAAACAGACATTTATTTACACAAAATACAATATATTTACTTAAATCCATCTAGTCCGCCTAGGCGCTAGACCCTAGTCCGCCATCCGACTAGTGCCTAGCGTCTTTTAGAACCTTGTCCAACAGTAAAAAAAATTAGATTTTATTAGTTGAGTTACGTGGCATAATTTGTTGTATCTGATTTAATAAAATTTTGGAATTCAACAATCAGGATTAATTCAATTGTAAAAATAAAAATACAAAAATTATTTTTATTATGTTTTACCTTACCATCTTATTCATTCCCCACACAACACCACACCACAACTCAATATTTATTTTTATTACAATCTTCTTAAACAAACTTACAAAGTTCAACATACCTACAAATAACACAATTACACATAACACACTTACAAACAAGTATCTTTGTCATTTATTGAAAATCTCATAAAAAATTTAGGTGATAATGACATGTGGAAGATAAGGCCAATAAAACATAAAAAAAATAACAATTTTTTTTTTTTTTTTTTTTTTTTGTGAATAACCGTCGCCCTTGCCATCATCCTTTCCTTTTCGAAAAGGGGTTGAGTTGCACAAAGGCAACTACTGTTTAAAGTGAATAGTAAGCGTAATTCAAGTGCCTTGCCCTTGCCCTTGCTCTCCTACAACAGGTGGACCTTGCTCTAACACTTGAGGGGGAGTGCTTTAAATTTAAATTTGGATCATTGGATCAACCAAACGTTACAACCGTCCGATTAAATAAAGAGGGGTAAATTACACAAAACTACTTTAATTATGGGTCGAACCCCAATCTCATATCTTATGTATTAAACATTGTAATGTCATACCTCAACTTATGAATTCGTGACAATGTCATACCTCCGTTAAGTTTCTATCAATTTGACTGTTAAATTATAAATTATTATTAAATTATTAAATTTTTATTAATAATAATAAATAATTTATTAATTAATTAATTAATTTTTTATTCTAGTTGCCGAAGGAGTGGGCCCCGTTCTTGCCACATCATTATTTAACAGTCAAATTGACAAGAAGCCTAACGGAGGTGTGATATTGCAACGAATTCATAAGTTGAGATATGACATTATAATATTTAAAACATGAGGTATGAGATCGTGGTTCAATCCATACTTAAGGTAGTTTTTTGTAGTACTCAAAAAAGAGCCTTTGGGCTTGTTGCAAGTGGTGGACACACACGCCAGTGTGGAACCCTGCAGCTGATGCTTTGTCGTGTGGCATGAGTAGCACACGTCGGTAGGTTGCGGATGGGGGAAAAACAGTCGTGCTTATCTCATATTTTTTTTTTTTAACAAACAATATTATCTACATTAAGGGAGGGAGTGAACTTAGCCTCACAATGGGCTAGCAATAATGTGGTTTAAATTCACCTTTGGTGAGAATTGAATATAAAACTTCTTATTTGCAAGTAAAGAAGAATATCACCATACCGTAGTATTAAGCTGCTTATACCAAACTTAAATTGTGGGAGAATCAGGCCCAAAATCATTTTTTCTCCAAGACCAATTTCAGCCCAATTTTCAGCTTTTATCCTCTCCCATCAATTGCATTTGGTCTAGCCGGCAGTATGTATATGGTGGAGACCCACTCAAACTCAAACAGAGCTTTGTAAATTCCAGATTCATTCCCGCCAATCTCTCTCTCTCTCTCTCTCTCTCTCTCTCTCTCTCTCTCTCCTCCCCCCCTATTAAGGTACGATTCTCTCTCTTCTAAATTATGGTAAAGTGATTCGACCCAAGAGCTATATATGTTTACAGATTCAATTGTGTTTTTTATTTTTTATTGTTTGGGTCTCCATTACGAGAAATTAGGGCACACTATTTTCATTCAGAATCAGTTTAATTTACTTTCGTTTGTTTATATGGGTATTCATCGAAACCCTAGCTCCTGGAGTTACTGGGATTCCGTGTGTGTCTGTAATTCTGGCAAGGGGTTGATCTTCAAACTTTAAATTAAATCTCAAATTCGTTTAATTTAATACGGAGAATTCTCAAATTTTCGAATTTGGAGTGTCAATTTGGAAGAGTTGAACTTGGACTGACGAGAGCACGGGATCGTTATAGTGCAGAATTTTAATTGGCTGGTCATTTGTGTTTCGGGTTTTGTTTCGTGCAGGTTATTATGAAATCTATGTTTTGGGTAGAAAATTGCAGGAAACAATTAGGATAATATGTGTGAGACAGGGCAGCGTAGCTTTTGTGCCATTCAAATGATATAGGCTCTCGTTTCATATAGAAGAAAACGAGAAACAAAAATTAAACAAAAATGGAATACTCTTGGTGTACACCAATTAATTAGTTTCTTGATATCCAATTTCGTTGAAGCCTGAAAAAAATGCAGTATTGTCTTACTTAGGAGAAGGACTGCGTGACAGTAGGCTAAAGATCGGTGAAGCCTAACCAGCATGAAAGTTTGTAGAGAAACAAACAGGAAGGTGATCAAGGTTCCTATAGAAAGCAGAGCAGGTATAGGAAGTAGCATGAGAGAACAGAAAACAGGGAGAACTACCCGAGTCTACCCCAAAGCAACAGGTAGGAAATCTCATCTGAGTAAAGCTTGAATGCTTTTAACTCAATTGGTCATTCTTGTACTTTCTTGCAAGTAGAAGGTTTTCCACAAAATATTACAAATAATTCTAGACAAATGTCCTTTGATTTGATTAGCCTTTCCATGCTCTGAGATGTTGTGCATATGAATTTTCAATTGTGCCTATCTTGGGCATTCCTTTAATTAGTTGCATCTTATCCTTCTTAGGGAAAGGTGGGCGGGCTGATGGCATGTGTTTGGAGCTTCCTGACAAAGGTGGGCCCTTTTCAGGAATAACAAAGAGACCGCCTGATCTTGAGTGTTGTCAAGGGAAAACACTTCTTCCGCAGTCAAAGATCAAGTTGCAGCTTTTCCCTGTAAATGAAGTTACTCGCATACGATTGGAAAAGGTTGATCATAAATCATGAAGATATGAAAAATTAGAACAGCACTATGCATCTGCAAGATAATAGATTTTGTCACTTTAATTTCTAAGTTTGTTTTCCTTTTATTTCATTTTCAGGATGGACATCATCCATATTTAGAACTTATTCTTAGACCACAGAAGAAGATTACTTCTGTGCTAAAGCACCTTAATGACAAGTGGGGGAGTTCAAGCGTTGCTCTTAATGAGCTGGTTCTATTCCCATATAAGATGCATGACAGTATGTCTAGTAACAGAAGATGGACACTGAATGATGGTGACATTAGTGCCGGAGCTGTCTATGCAGATATTGGATGCCCTGCAGTTTTTCGCTTAAGGTATAAGTCTGTACTCAATTTTCTTAATCAATGTATTATTTAATTTTTCTGACTTGATATGCTTCTTAAGGTATGGCTGGCTCTCTACTGAACCTAAAGGTGCTGATCAACCTTCTACATCAGCTAATGACTTACAATCTGAGGTCGAACAGAGATGTAGAAGCACCTCCACAGAGAATGTATATGATGAATTAGGGAAACAGACTGTGTTAGCAACAAAAGATTTCAGATCAATCAAAGCAAGAGAAACAATAAATGCAGATGCTGAGAATATTTCTACTGGAGTTGTTGATCTCAAGGTAAAATTTTCTGCTGATTCTTTCTCTGATTGATTGTTTGTTCTTTTATTCATATGTGTGTGCGCGATCACATACCTTACATGGGTTAACCTTAAAAATATCACTATACTACAACAACAACAACAGCAGCAACAACAAAGCCTTATCCCACCAAGTAGGGTCGGTTGTATGAATCCTAGAATGCCACTGCGCTTAGTTTTGCGCCAAGTCTTCAGTTAGCTCCAAGTACTTCATGTCTTTTCTTAGAGTCTCTTTCCCAGTCGTCCTAGGTCTTCCCTAACCATGTTTGAGCCTCTGTCTCATAATCGCATTTTCTAATTGGAGCATCTATAGGTCTTCAGTTCACATGTCAAAACCACCTTAACTGATTTTCTCTCTTCTTATCTTCAAACGCGGCTACTCCTACTTTACCTCAGTATATTTTGGTTCTTAATCTCTTAACATATTACTATGAGTTTGAATTCTCATTGTTTCTGGTGATTATGAATGAAATGCATTAAGCTGGAAATGCAAACTGGAATGCAATATATAGATGTGATGAAATGTTGTGTTGAGAATACAAGTCTTGATAATTATTCTGTCCTTTTGTTCAAAATTTAAAATCCCAGATGGAAAATTTGTTGGGTAGAGCTATAGGTTTTTACTTGGAGATTTATGCAACATGTTTCTTTGACGTATTTTTAATGATTATCTGAAGTTTTCTCTCTTATTATAATTAGGACGATATTCAGAGGAGGATGGGTAACCATGCTCAGGAACCACTTTTGCTTGACAGTGTAACTAATATAAGCATTGGAGGCCTACTTTCTGAAGCATCTTTACAGGCCAAGTGCAATAACAGTGAAGAAAAACAAATTGGGAAAAATGAAGGCTTTCATCCTACTGAAACAAAAAATGATTCAAAGTCATTTGCGTTGTGGGATTGTCCTTCTATAAGCATTGGTGGCCTCTTGTCCGAGGCATCCATGCAGGGCAAGCTCGATCAATTTTATGCACAACCAGTTGAGAGCAATGCAGGCTTGCCACATCCTCAAGGTCAAAGGCCATCCACTCATGACTCATGCTTATCTATTTTTGATGCTGAAGAAACTTGCCATGCATTTCCTTCTCAAAAATTCTCTTTGTCGGGAAAAGATGTTCTGGGGTTTGGTGGAAGTCGTGGAGGTTTCAACCAGAATCCTGGTTCTAAACTATTCAAGCTCCCTAATGCAGCAAAGGTTAGCTGAGTTCTATTCATGCATTTCATTCTGTTATTGCAACTGAGCTATTTTTATGTTGTTTAAATCTGTGTTTCATGTTTTGTGGCTTTGGTCTCATTTAAATTAACTATGCTTCGAATACTACTTTGTTGGATTGGTATGATAAATTCCATAGATCTTCCTACTCCATAAATATATTTGGATTTTCCATCAATCTGAAATTGTTTTAACTGGTAATCAGAACTTGTCTTGAAATGAGGCACGGTGAATATTTAGTATATTGAAGTCAAGTTTCGGAATGTCTTGACATTGAAGGGTGTTATAACCTTTGATTTGGTTAAATGAGATATCAAATTTGTCTGTCGTTTACTTTTTATATTGTTCAGCCTTAAAAGAACCTGATTGATCAGTCACTTCTGGTATATCTTATCCATTGATGTATTAATCATCTGTTTGGTTTTGTACACCTTTCAAAAGTGTACTTGATCAGGATACGACGATAACGTCAATACATTGCTTTGTTTTTTTTAACGTCGTGCGTAAGTCTCTTTAAGCACCTTTAACAAGCAAGTAGCTAGCTTCCACCTTGCTTAACAGCAAGGCATGAAAGCCTTCGCCTATAGTGTGTAATATCATATGGCGAGGCTATTTTTAGGCTATTTAATTCACTAGTATCATCCCAAAGTCAGTGGGATAAGGCTCTGTCAAGATTTGAAACAGCATGTAGCTGTGTTCCTTGTCAGGGGTATGCACTCACTTGGGCCATTCAAGCCGTTGAAAACTTCAAGTAAAACGAAAATATCTTATTTTGGATGTCTATTGCAGTCTAACAATGTAGATGGGCTGCTGCAAGACCAGCGTGCTTGTCAGGAATCAAATACAGTTTGTTCGCGAGTGAACAACGATGACAGAAGTCTTGGGCTGTCAGGCATCAAATGGGTATTTGAATATCTTATCGAAAGTGATTTGATTGTTTTGAAGTTTCCGAAACTGTAAATTGCTAATGGTTTTAATTTACTGCTTGGACACACACAGACCGACTCCTTGGGGCCGTTTGATCTTGGCCTCCCTGTTTCCCAGAAGCTCATCACTGGAGAGAGTACAAGCAGCATCAGTGGATTTGTCAAGTAGCCGAATACTCAGATCAATGCTTGGAACAGTTGTGGAAGTTTGACAAATTTATTTGAGCTGGACTTGCCAAAATGAATATTAGATGATTTGATGTGTTACTAAATGCGCTCATATAACCAAATGTGCTTCTGACAATGTTAAAGACCTTTTTTTTTTTTTTTTTTTTTTTTTGTGGTGGGGGGTGGGTGGGGGAAAGGAGAAAAGGTTAAAGGTTTTTCTTCTAGCAAGCATTTAGATTATTGTTAAAATTTTGGACCATTTGGAAGTACTTGATCAAGCACTTTCGCTCGTAAGAGCTTTGACTTGAAGCGTGTATCCAAAATTTTAATAAAAACCGAAATGCTTTTACAACCAACACTTACAACTTTTGTGCCAAATATTATTAGAATTGTTTGTGGTTATGCGGAAAAGTGTGCATTCTAAAGATGGGGATTTTTGTGCCCTCCCGTTTGCAAAATTTGTTTTCGTTTTAATTTTTGGGTAAATGAAAAAGGGTAGAAGGAAGTGGATGTAAATTGTAATGATGAAGAAAATGCCCAAATTAAGAAATCTGGGGATGTGGTGTGCTTGTCCTTTCAATTTTCTTGAGAACACAGTCCCAAGTCCTTTTGCAAAGCAAATAAATAAATACTATATACACAAAAAATTTTGACCTGTTTATTTTGTAAGTCTTGATTTATAGATTATTCTTGTAAAAATTCAATTCAATCCGAAATCATTTGTCTATTTAATTATCATAATGAAATTCAATGTATTTTAGAGAACATATTCGTCAATTTCTTTGAACTCAATTAGATGTCTCAAATATTTCCGATTTGATTAATATTTTGTAAGAATGATCTATGAAATGCAACTTGAAAAATAAACAGTTTGGATCGTTAAAGTTTAATTTGGTGTGGGTCTAGCAACTAATATCCATTTTTATGAAAAAGAAAATAGAGATCTCTTCTCTTAAAGGTTTCCTTGAAATATGAAATATGTGTTTGTGTACACACACACACACACTCACACACACACACACACACACACATATATATATATATATGTTGCAATCATATTTAGAATAGAAATGTGATTGTGTAAATCCTAGTAGATATAGGGATATCTCTTATATTCCTATTAGGAGTTGATTACCTATTAAGAGTTGTAATCCTAAAAGGGTAAGGTTTTTACCTATCCTACTACTATAAATAAAGGCACAATGGGGGTGATACAAAACACACCTCACAATTAAATCTCTCTCTTCCCTCTTGCTACAGCTAGCCTCCTCTCTCTCTCTAATCCCTTAGATTAATTCAATCAAATAGGTTTACAACACGTTATCAGCACACTCTTACCAGTAGCTGAGTAAGGTTATCTTCCACAAAATTCAAAGGCTCTTCTTTGTTTTCTGCCAATCAGGTACGCTTAAACTAAAGGAAGATATTTGAAACGTCCACGAAGCATGAAAACATTTCCTATGATGCATGAACCCCTCTATGTTTATATTTTCCTTTCGATATATATATATATATATTGTATATGTTCATATATTTGTCAATATATATATATATATTTGTTTCATGCATTATGCAATTAAATTGCTATATGGAATTTGTGAGTCAAAGCATATAAACAAATTAAAAGCAATTCTAGGGTTTTTTCAAACCATAACCATGTTGAAAAAATATATATATATATATATATGGGGCGTTGGGCACTGTGCGGTACCACCATCGCACCACCATGGCAGCAGCCCTCTGGGCCTTGCTGCAACCACACATGACACCCTCAGGCCTTCGGCCTAGTTGACCTACATGGGCTTGAAGTCCCAGCTTGCTCTCTAAGGAAATCTGCAGCCTTCCTGGATTTGTCCTTGTGAACCCAGCTTGCATTGCCAGCAACATTAAGCTGCTAGGCCTTACCCTGTGCCTCAACCCACTTCTCGTAACTCTGTCTGATGGGTTGCGCTTGCCCCGACCCGGACCCAGCCTCGGCTGGGCTTCCCACGTGAACACAAGGCTAGCATTCCATTGGGCCTGACCATGCTCCACCCCCCTAAAATTCAGCCTAAACACCAACACCTTGCTGCTGGGCTCCCTGTCTAGGCTCGTGGCCTGTAGCCACTTATGGGCTGCTACTGCAACCATACCTGAGCCCTCTACTCACGGCACCCAGTCCAATTTTTTTGGGCTATGTTTTTTTCTTCCCAATGCTATTATTTTTGGCATTATTTTGCTTCCACGATCGACCATGTTTGGTCCCGATATATTGAATTAATTAAAAGTGATATGCAGTCCATTAATCTTATAATGAAACCAAAATTATTGACCTGAAGATCACTTTTGGACATTAACGATTCAATAATTTATTTTTATACTTTGAACCATTGACATACTTTCATAGTAACGAAGCTCTCACACTTGAGTTCCCAAAGAAACTCAAATCCACTACACTAAAATCAGCATATTGCATTCTGTATTTCTTACAGGAACATTTCCTTTATGAACTAATCGTTCATAAAAACTAAATTGAACCTATAGTTTCATATTTAGTGCCTTTGAAACTTGAAGTTTTCATTCAAAACTTACCACGTAAAACCTGTAGTTTTCATGCATAAATAAAACCAATACATGCCTATAGAACTTGAATGTTCTATGATATATGTCTATGGAACACCGTATGACTAATCACCTTTTTTTTTTTTGTACCCTCTATTTTAGGGACATGTCGAACTTAAACAAGCTCGATTTCACCACTCTGGAAGTCTCCGGAAGAAACTACCTGAAGTGGGTTTAAGACGTGAAGCTCCATCTTACTGCAAAGGGTATTAGAGCCACCATTGAGGCACCCACCGACGACAACCCTATCGACGAAGCTCATAAAACTACTGCAATGATCGTCATTCGAAGACACATCCATGATGCTTTGCAGACCAAGTACCTTGTTGAGGAGGACCCACACACCCTTTAGCTTGCTCTGGCCGATCGTTTCGATCACCAGAAAGACATATACTTGCCTAAAGTAAGACATGACTGGCAGCATCTTCGCTTCCAAGACTTTAGTCCGTGAATGAATACAACTCTAAAGTTTGTAGAATCTGATCATTGCTGAAGTTTTGTAAAGTGGAACTAAACGAATCAGATTTCATGGAGAATACCTATTTAACCTTCTATGCCATCAATATTGTCCTGCAACAACAATATAAGGCATAGAAATTCACCAAATTTTCGGATTCGATCACTGTACTACTTCTTGTTGAAAAACAGAACTAGCTCTTAATGAAGAATCATCAAGCCCGACCGACTGGATTGAACGCCGTGCCTGAAGCGTACGCAACCAATTTTAGCAGCCACAAATGACGAAAGAATCGTCGTGGACGTGGTAATGGGTGGCAAGTCTCACCATGGGCCCAAGGTCCACAGAGTGTCGGCCCCAAGGGAGGAAATGTGACCCAGCAGCGTCCACCTCTTGCCCCTAAGGCCCTGAACATCAAGAACAAGGGCAGCAAAGCTTCTGTTTAGTCAGCTTCCACTAAAATGGATATGTTTTATTGTTGGAAATGTGCCCTAAAACCAATCATATGATGATACTTTATGGACATTTCACATGTTAAACTAATCTAGTTTAATATTAAAGGCAAACATTATTGTTTGAGCCGTCTCATATAAATGTTATATGCTTAAAACGATAAGTCCAAGGAATATGTGATTGGAAGAATGCGATCTAAAGAAGTTAGATTCATGAGACCATTCTTTCGTTGACACATCCTAAACGTTCCTGATCATAGGATTGTCAATTGGGCATTAACAGTCCGTTAAGATCAGTACGTGCTATGTCTTCTCTCAGGGAGCGTGACTAGTCTCGAGTCATTGGTGTGTGTGACATCAAGACAAGTACGTAGGTGCTCAATAGAGAATGAGTTCACTGAACACGATCAACGAAGAGTTCTCATATTCATGTCACATGAGAACTCATGGTTGGGATAATGCAAATTAGTCTTTTGACCTGAGGCATCACAGTTGTCTTGTGGTTAGGTCCTTAATCTTTGATTATGTCAAAGTCACTCCATCAGGAGGGTGTCCATGGCATCGTTGGGGTTAAGCCACTTAGCCATGGAGGCAAGTGAATGCGCAACAAGGGATCTCTAACCTTCAAAATGTTTGAGGGAGAATACTCTATGATATGATTAAGAATCTTTGGCCAAAGTATGAATGAGATTTAGGAATGTGTTCCAAATCACATTCAAGGTAATCATATAAGCACAAGACTCACATTGGATAGTAGACATGAATAAACTATCAAACCAAACAATGTGGTCAAGAGTATTGTATTAGAGAAAGACTGTATTGCATTTGTAATCCTAAAACTGAATAGGTTTTCCACCTCTTCTGATTAGCTTGGGTAACCATGACATGCTGCTAGGCGTCAACCATGGTTTGTGGAAGCCCTAAAAGTGTATTATCACTAACGGGAGAATTGAAAGTAAGTTTCAATTCACAATCGATTAGAAAGAGTTTTAATCGCCCACTGCCTCGCTAAAAGGAACCTAATGGATCGTTCACCGAGTAAGGTAGAGTTTGAAGAAACAACGGAGATGAGTAAGAATAATTAAATGGTTTAATTATTTATCTAAGGCTAGGATTAATTAATATGTTAATTAATCAAACGAATAAGTTCGTTAAAGACCTCGGGTTAGTTTTGGGCCGCAAGGCCCAATGGGATTTGAATGTCAAGCCCATTAACTCAAGTTGTATGACAACTTGAATAAACAAAGGGCTTGAAAGCCCAATAAACCCTATAGGCTTGCCATGTTAGAAGAATAGGGCTTTTGGTCCATTAGGTCACTTATTTGAAGGGACTATATAAAGGACTTTATAGCCTAAAATTTACATATGGTAATTTTTGGGGAAAGGATGAGAACACAAGCTCTCCTTTCTCTCTAAAATTTAGGCCACCTTGGAGGGATCATCTAGCAATCAAACTCCTCCAAGGTCACTCATTTCTTCTTCATTATGCCTTGGTGATGAATAATTAGAGGTTCTCAATTTTGGGAACTTGGAGAAACCTTTTCATCCATCCAAATCCATGGATCTAAGATGCAAGGAATGAAGGCCCTCTCTTTGGGTGATTAGCCTTTGCTTATGCAAAGAGGAATCTACAAAGGTATTGATTTCTCAAC